AGCATTTCTCTTCTGGGCAATGTTAATTATGGAGTGCTGACAGGAGTTCAAAAATAAATCCAGATTCTTCAAGTTAATGCCCCACATCAATGTAGTGTGAAAAATGTAATACACTGACAAGCATGAGAAAAGGGTAGATTTTGCACCATTTCCTCTTTCTCAATAAGGAAAAAAATTCAGAGTGAATTTAAAAAATTCAGAGCAAATTATATTTATTAAAAATAATAAATTATTTCAGAGAAACAATTTAGATGCCTGCCTATTTATCTTTTTAATTTATAGTGCTCACTTGATTCTTTAAGGCTGAAAGAATATTCAAACTTATGCGTCTATTTTAGACAATATGACCGAAGCTCTGAGAGAATCAAAGGAATGGGTAATGAGTGGAAGAATACAAATTTTATTCCACATTTTTATCTCTTCTTCTGATACTACAACATCTCTCTTTTTCAGGCCAAATTTCTGATCATGGCCCATCAATTTTTAGTTATTTTTATGGACACTGAGTTTTGATTTCCAAAATTTTGACCATATAATGAATGAACTATAACAACACCATTTAGTCCTTCATATAGTGCACACATGTTCTGTTAGAAATTAATTAATGAGACTAACAAAATAGTCAGAACACTTGAATTTTCTTTCCAGTATTTAGCAACTATCTGGTAAGTACTGTCAAAATACATAGAAGCTTCAAAAATATTAATCTTCACTATAATTTTTAAAGCAATAATTTTTAAAATTCTATTTGAATTAAAGTATAATTCAATATATGTGTTATTATCTTAGTACTTTAAAAATAAAGAAACCAAGAGTAATGCCCCTTAACTTGCCCAAGGTCATGCAAGAAAGTACATGTTTGTATTCTATACTCAAGTCTGTCTGAACACAAAGCCCTGTTTTTCAATAATGCTAACTTGAGAAAGAGTATTTAGGCTTTAAAAATGTTGTGGTCCTTTGAACCAGTAATTTTGTGTAGAACTGTATTCTAAAAATGCAATAAAGAACATGTACTATGATTTAGCCACAAGAATATTTATATTAATGTTGGTTATAGTGCCAAAAATTGAAATCAATGTAGTGATTAAAAGGGCTTGATTAAATTAATTGTGTTGGGGATGGTGAATAACCGGAGGTTGCTTGTTGACTGCAACATGCATTCCTCCAGTGATGAATACATTAAAGACATTGACTTCATATCAGTGCAATAAATCACTGTAGCCATATTGTACTTCTACCCTGCATTAAAATATTTTCAAATTAAATTGATTGCATTGTGTTCACATAGTAGAATAGTATGCAACCATTAAAAATGTTGTAGTAGAAAAATATCTATTGGAAAAATAATGCTAGCACACATAATTTTCTTAATGAATTCCACTTAACCTGTGAAGCTTAATTAGATGTTATTTTGGTGATATATGCTCTCATCCAAATAAAATGAGGCCTACTCTTCTCTGTGCTTCTATAGATCTACACATTTGGCATATGGTATTATACATAGTCCCTTACAGACTATGACTTCCTCAAGGTCAAAGAACCAACGTTAGTCACCTTTGTTATCCCACCTATATCTAACAGAGTGTACAGTGCATAGTTAAGAGTAGATAGTCAACAAATGTCTACTGCAAAAATAAGTAAACAATCCTTGTCAGTACGTTCAACTTACTTTATTTAAAGATCATATAGACAGTGATGAGGTATCTGTGTTTTACCAGGGAAAACTTCCATGCTTTTTACAATGAGAAGAAACAAATCCCTTGATTCTAGTTAACTCTGATTCCACCTTGCTGCCTTAAAGACAGAAATAGGCAATCTCTGCACATGTATGATGTAGTCATTGCACACGATCCTGTGACGCAGCACTCTGGCAAAGGCCTGAGCTAAGGCAGGGATTTTGATGAGAATTTTATATGTTTCTATAGAATACAGCAATAGGCTTCATAAAATATATCTCTTAAAATTATCTTAAAAAACTTTTGTAAATGTCTATTTTATGTTTGTTTATTCTCTAAGGATAGTCCTTTAGCTACATGCTCAGAAAGTCATTGGCCAAAACAATTTAAAGAAGAATATTAGATTCTATGTTGTTTTCAACATATAACCCAAAATCTTAACTTTCATATGTGTATGTCATGTATTAAGTAGAAAATTTTGTTTTTGTTTTCATTTTCAAGACTGGGGTGAGCTGACTTCTTATCAAAGCTCAGTAAAATGTAGTTAATGGGTAGACACATTCATTATTCTTTTCTGTAGACATTATAGTACAGACACAAGTACTTCCAACAAAATTACAAAAATTCCTCTGGGAATGAGAAAACAGAGTTGCTATATGCAGTTCACTGAGGATAAAGATACTTCTCACCCTTGGCATCTGCACAGTCAGTATTTTCAAATTATCTAAAGAAAGTCAGAGAGCAGGTCATTGGGAAGAAAGTCAAATGGATAAGGGCCAGGAAAAGAAAATCAGCAAGAGAGGAAGTTTACAGAGGCCAAAATCAGAAGACTGCCTTCAACTAATACTGAAGAAATCTTCACACATTCTTGAAGTCCAGTCAAGTGTTTCTATGTGTTTCTACATAAAGGTCTAGCTGTGTTTAGAACTGCTACATTTTCTATGGCCTGAAGGAATTTTCATTTATTTGCTATGGTACATTTTTCCTCTAGCAGGACCATCACAAACTGGAGTTTAGCCCTGTGCCTATAAGAGTAGATTGGAAATTTTAGTAGGGAAAAATCACTAAGGGCCAATCTTATTTAGCTCCCTCTGCTGAATCACGTTTGTGTGCAAGGACTGAACCAGATGAAGTTTCAGAGGTACAATTGGCTCATTGACTGCCAATCACCTGCCAGACAGGGGCTAATACCAGTTTAAAAAATATTACAAAGGAAGCCTGAGCCTTCTCAGAACCTGAAGACACATCCAGGATAACTGAAGGGATTCCAGGAAACCCAGTTTCAGTATGACAGAACAGGCATTATGAGGGACCTATATATGTTTTTGTTTTATTTGACCTGGATTTTTTTTTTTAATTAAAAGACTAGTAGGAAACCCCTTGAAGACTCTCTCTAAGATCACTAAATGTTAAAGTGAAAATCAGAGTTTATACTCTTCCTGACTTGCATAAATTGCCTTAGGAAGGTGAGCTTTTTAATGCAGTCTGAGATGGGAATAATAGTAATAGCAATGTCTCCTGAGAGCTTACTTTGTACCAGGCATGTTCTACAAAACTCATAAAGTCAAAACTATTATTATTCTCTTTCTGTCAATGAGGAAACAAGACATAAGAATACGAAGTAAGTTTTTCAAGGAAATACAACTAGTAAGGAAGGGCTTAAAAAATATAAAACATGCTCTTAAAAAATATACAATACCTCTCTACAAGGGAGAGTTATGAAAATAGGAATCTCTCTGGTTATCTGCTGTACAATATTCAACCTTTTTTTGAGGGAGTGTTTTCCAAAACAGTGGATAATCTCTAGAAAACAGCTTTCCTTTTTTTTCAAATAGTTAGCCTCCAATATTGATTATTAGAGAAATTCAAATCAAAACACAATGAGACACCATTTATCACCAGTCAGAATGGCTATTATTACAAAGTCAAATAAATAGATGCGGGCGAGGTTGTAGAGAAAAAGGAACTTTTATACACTGTTCGTGGGAGTGTAAATCAGTTTGGCCATTGTGGAAGACAGTGTGGTGATTCCTCGAAGACATAAAAACAGAAATACCATTTGACCCAGCAATCGCATTACTGGGTATATACCCAAAGGAGTATAAATCATTCTATTATAAAGACATATGCATACATAAGTTCATCGTCTCACTATTCACAACAGCAAACATATAGAATTAACCTAAATGCCCATCAATGATTGACTGGATAAAGACATTCTATATTTATAAAGTTTACAAATCTATAAATGTCAAATGGGAAGTATTGAAAGAATAAAGTTATACCTGCAAGATATACAAATAGAATTTAAGACAAAAAATCATATAGCTCAACTGGCATAAAGACAAGTTCTTAACATCATTAGTTCTAGTTTTAGAGTCTCCTATAAATACCCACACAGTGGACAGAATGCAAAGCCTGAATTTGCACTTATCATTTTTGATTCTAGGGCATGCTACAACTTAAGAACTGTACAGTCCAACACACATCCCAGTGAATAAGTGTATCAATCTCATGCCTAACAACCTATCTTTGGATGTTTCACAACCAAATTAAATCTCACCTTCTAATGAAGCAGAGAATAGAATGGTAAATTACATGGGCTAGAAATAGGAGCTTGATAGTAAGTATTTCAAATGATTAGGAACATGAGACAAAAACATACAACAGCAAAAGTATGTACTGTAGACTACAACTCTACTTGAAATGCACATATGCTTGGTTAAATCCTGTTCTTATTGAAAATCACTTAAGACTGGGCATTCTGGCATCATACTGTGGCACTTGAACAAAGGTTCTACTACTTAACAGCTGGTGATAGGCAAGGGTTACTCTTCCTGGGCTGGAGACCCAGCAGGCTGACTTTCCATACAGACAGCTGACACTTCCTCTCCCCCAAACAGCAGGATCATGTGAAAACTAAAATGCAGAAGATATAAAATCTGGCAGTAACAGAGTAGTCAAGTCAGGCATCTGATAGGACGCCAATGAAACAGACAAGGCTGGGGGCCAAGAATCCCCAACACCATATGATGATAAACAGGAGGCTTGGGCCCTGGACTGTGATCACACCAAGGGATGGGTTATTGAGCTCTCTGTTATAAACACTGAGGTGGAAGATCAGGCATAGAAGCCACAATTCTTGTACATCACAGAACTGTAACAACAAAGTTTCAACCTTGGCCCCCAACATATCCCAGGGGGAGGTCTGGTGCTTCTCTAACCAGTAGCTTATAAGCCCCACATCTCAAGACTGGAGCCTCTCCCATGACAGACATTTGCCCACCAGGTCCTTGTACAACTGGCATGGAGAAAATGGCTCACCTGCTGCTACTCTGTCTCCATAGTTTTTCCCCTCCAAAAAGGAACGCTGGCCCAGGCTGGTGTGTGTACTTTCAGGGCATTCACTCTTGATTACTCCACATTAGATGGTCTTGAACAAATTATTAATTCTCTGTGAGCCTCAGTATCCTCTTCATCAAATATGGATAATGACAGTAAACACTTCATTTGGTTTCTGCGAGGATTAAAGGAGATAATCTATGTCAAGTGTTTATCAGAGAACGGCACACACTGAACATTAAAAAGTGCTAGTTATGATTACAATTTGTGATTAATTCAGGGGGATTTTTCAGTACATATAAGGGATTTTATCATATTTCAGAAAGAAATAAAAAATAATCCTGAGGTCTTTCATTAAGACACATAGATAGCCACTGTTCTATAGGATATGACTCCATCGCTGATGTGGTAAGGTTTATTTGATGGCTGAAAGAGTTGGGTTTCAGATCACAGAAGAGAGATTTGTCACATAAAAGGATCTTAGACTTATACTGAGAAGCAGACTTCTAATCCGTTTGCACCTTCTTGAAAATGAGCACTATGGAGGAGTGGCATGAAGAAAAAACAGGCTTAGTGGCTGCACTTTTCTCTACACAATTATTTATTCATTCATTCATCCATCAATACATTATCTCCTTTATACAACAGTTACATATGGCAAGACACTATGCTAAGTATGATGGTGAGATAAGACATAATCAGGTCAATATGGAGAAGTACAAATTGGCTTGTCCGAAACTTACTCCCTACATGTGAGTCTACCAAAGAAGGAGCTTGCTGCCTGCGGTTGCCTGTAAAATAGCTACAAAAAAATGCCTACGGCAACCAATTCTAGTAAAGGCTGAGATGGCAGATTAAGCCAGTTTCCAGCATGTCAAAGAGCTGGAACTCTGAGGCTTAGACGTGAACCTAATGACTTTGCCAGAGAATGCGCTTGTGTTCCCCCCACTATTGGATGTCCAGCTGGCAGAAAGGGACTTGGAGACAAAACTATGCCATACATATAGTTGATGGATCCTAGCTCTTAATCATGCCAGGGGAAGAGCTGTTGCTTTGCTAATTCGTTTCTTAGAGCCTTCTAGAAGCCAGTGCTTGCTTTGCTCTATCTCTGTGCACTGCCACAAAATACAGTGGTAAATTATACTCTGTTCCTTATCACAGTGAAAGTCCTCAATGTAATGCTCTTTCATCATTGCTAGTGTGTTAGCTACCTGGTGCTTTGTCCTGGTTTAATCAACATATTTGTGACTTAAGAAGCCGGTAATGGCCAACTTCTACTTCCCTTGAAAGTATCTGATAGAACCCAATCCCTGCACCTGTATCTCCTTGCCAATAACAAGAGGAATGACTTATTTTATAGGACTAATGCGTCTATACCATTCACTCATAAAAGTTGAGAGGTAGACTTCATTTCTTGATGGAATTTATTAGCTCTGTAACTACGATGCTCATCCAAGAGGCCAGTTTTGGGGTGATAATATTGCCTAATGTACAGTGTGTTTGGCCTGATGTAGAGGGTATATTTATCATTACAGTCTTGCTGATAATGAAGTTGATCTTTGATGTCTAAGGAAGTCAAGATTTCCTTGTCCCTTTCTTAACAGGTTTAGGACTTAGAAGAGACATTTGAGCCAAAGACTCCTTTAATCACATTTGCGTAATTCAGACACGAATTTGTATTCCAATTGGCCTTGGAAATACTGTGTTCCATCTTGAAATGTCAGTGTGCTTATTTGCCTATGGCTATAATTGTCCCATTGGATTCTGTGAAGGATTAATTGAGATGATGTACCTGAATGATATAAGGTATTCAAAAATTCTGCTATTATGGCGTCCATGATGTAAACGGTAGTCTAGAAAAAGAACCTTGATACAGCTCTGTTTACAATAGCCAAGATTTGGAAGCAATCTAAGTGTCCATCAATGGATGAATGCATAAAGAAAATGTGGCACTTATACACAATAGAGTACTATTCAGAGATTCAGTCATTTACAACATGGATGGAACTGGAAGATATTATGTTAACTGAAATAAGCCAAGCACAGAAAGACAAACATCACATGTTCTCATTTACTTGTGGGATCTAAAAATTAAAACAATCAAACTCATGAAGATAGAGAGTAGAAGGATGATTACCAGAGGTTGGGAAGGGCAGTAGGGGGATAGGAGGAAGATGGAGATGGTTAATGGATACAAGAAAAAGAAAAGAAGGAATGAGAAGATGGATACCAATTTTCCATGATGATCATGGCACATTGCATATGTGTATCAAAACATCTCACATACCCAATAAAAATATATACCTTCGACATGCCCACAAAAAATTTAAAAAATATTTTTAAAAATCTTGAGAGATGAAGTGAGGATTATTGAGTCTCCATACTAAGAACTTTTGGGCCTGGCCTGATGGCTCACACCTGTAATCTCAGCACTTTGGGAAGCCAATGGCAGAGGATTGCTTGAGCCCAAGAGTTCGAGACCAGCCTGGGCAACATAGTGAAACTCTTATTTTATTTATATATACCTATATATTTTTTTCTATCATATATAAAAATTTTTTAAGCGAGATAAAAAAGAATATTTGATCTTTTTTCAGTCATCTTAAATATAGAAAACATAAAAAAATTTAACAGAGGATGCTTTCCAACAAATTGGAAACCTTTCTGTGTCCTAAGCCTATGACTTAACAGCCAGTTTAACACCACTATTCAGAACTGAGAGCTTGGGTACTGCAGAGCACAATCACAGCAGGACATTTAATAAATTGTGGTGGAAGTCAAACCTCAGTCCCTGCCACTCACCTCAACAGGACATTGCTCACCATGTGTCATTAAAATGCAACTCCCTTTGAGTGGACACAGTACAGTTCTATTAACAGACATAACTGCTTTTACTACTAGCAGTGGTTTAATGATTTTATGTCATTGCAATAATAGAAACATGACATTCAACTGTGACTACAGCTTGTATGAGCCTATTTTTGGAAAGCTGATTTTGCAGAGGACATAGAAATGTAAAGTCTTGCTTGCTGTTTATTTCCCAAAAGCCTTGGACAGTGACTACTATACGTCACGCCCCTCTATAGACCTTTCATGACTTTCTGAAATGAGTGTAGTGATTTGAAGTACCAAACAATGAATTGTTCACAGAAAAAAATCTCTTCTTTAGAAAAGGAGAATTGGGACTGAATCCAATTTTTCCATCAGAAATAACATCTCTCATGGAGTATTTCAATGCCTGAGTCCTCCCTCTTGACAGGGAAGAAGCAAGCAAATAGCAACAACAAAGATAAAGAAAATAACACATCCTTTCTCGGTAGAGGACACTGCCATCTACCTTTTACAGACAAATCTGAAGCTTAGAGACATAAACTCCCCCTATGTCCTGTCTTCACACATAGACACTTATCACTGACAGTACTCAGAGTTCAACTTCTTTCAAATCGCAGCACAAGTGCTTTTTCTTATGCCTACAGCCAACTCTTTCATCTGTGTTCTGGATTCCAACCCCTCCTCTCTTTCCTAAGACCTTGATCCATCAGTGCTCTACCTTTGTTCTGTGTTTTCACCTCTCCCCTTACCACTGGCTACTGGTCCTTTCAGTCTGTTCACATGCTAAAATCCTTACCGTTACGCACGCACGCGTGCGCGCGCACACACACACACACACACACACAAAGCCTTTTGTCTACATCCAGTCACCGACCTATTTCCCTCCACAACAATCAAACTACTTAAAATAATCCACATTTGCAGTCTCCCATTTTAAAATTGCCTGTTTTCTCTTATCCATCTATAAATACGTACATGATTTTTCCTTGTTTTCTTATTTCAAACAATACGCTACAAGCATTTTGTTATCTGGCCTTCCCTCCTTTCAACCCATACTCACCATCCTCTGCTTGCATCTTTCTGGCCAGACTGCTCAAGTGAAATTTATCAATAGCCTCCTTACAGTTAAAGCCAATGGCCAAGAGCAGTAATTTAACCATTGCCAGCAAGTGAAACAAAAGACACTTCCTTCTTCTTTTGAAAAATGTTGCTTTCTTTTGGTTCCATGTTACTGATTCTTTATTCCTCCCACTTACCATACACTGGACACATAGTTTCCCCAAGTACTATGCCATCAATATAGTTAAAATAAACCTTAAAAGGTAGGGAATATTGCAATTATTACATAAATTTAAGATCTAGCAGGTGGAATCTAAAGAAATTGAGTCTTTGCTTAAGTTACAGAGTAAGTACAATATATGAGGTAAGAACTCAGTTTTGTCTGATACCAAGGTACATTTCCAAAAGTACAGAAATATACCAAACAGTTGCAACCAACAAAACCCACCTACTCAAAGATTTAACAAACATTTGCACTTTGCTTTTGTTTTTACTTTTCAGAGGCAGTGTCTTGCTGTGATGCAGGATGGAGTGCAGTGGCACAATCACGGCTCAATGCAGCCTCAAACTTCTGGACTCAAGGAATCTTCCTGCCTCCCAAGTAGCTGAGGCTACAGGCACATGTCACTGCCCTGGCCTTTGCTTTATTAACCTTAGAATTCTTTCTTTCTAGAATTGACATAAAGACTTGAAGCCCATGTTACATTCCTTCCCAATTTTTCTACCTTTCTCCTCAGAAAGAAAGACATTGTCCTTTAGTTGGCCTGTATCCATTACATTCAAAAGTTTTTCTATTGGACTGATGCAATCTCCTTTATCCCTGTCATCCTTTCCTTTTTCTGTGTCTGAATATTTTACATTCATTTTCTTTTCTGTTGGTGTGAGTTTATACATATTTAACATGTATACTTAGCAATTTATAATCAATACTTCTAATTTCTCTCAAATCAAACAGGGCATTTGAATGTGTTCACACTAAACGTCTTCCTCCAATGTACCACATTAATTTGTCTTACTTTTGTCCTGTCAAATACCTTGTCTGAAACCACCAAAAAATGTTTAGCATATATTCTATTACTCTATCTATCAATCATCTTATTTTTCACAGACAAACCTTACCTACATGTACCTACATGTATACGAAAGTATATCTCATTCCTTCTTTGGATTGGAAGTTCCATTTTTCTCTTACTGATTTTCATTCCTAGATAGATAGATAGAAAGATAGACCAACCAACTATAAATTCTAATTCTCACTTCTTTTTTTTTTGAGACGGAGTTTCG